GAACATCTTCAGCTAGATCAGGTGAGTGATTCTCATCCTGAATCCAAACAAACGCAGTTCTGAAATGTAAAAACCATGAAAAAAATGAGATGACTGCCCTCTGTTGGGCTCCAGCCTGATCTCTGACCTTTTAACCAGATGCCCAAACTCCCAGTTAGTGGGTTCTTCATAGAAATTTAAGTTTTGGATCAGCACTTTTGCAAAAATCTAGATTTAACCCATAGTAAAGGACTGGAGTCATAGAAATCACAGAACATTTTTGTAATAGTAATGATAAAATATGAGCAGATTATTTCTCTTGTGTAGATAAATTCTAAAAGGAGGAGTTTTTTTTCTCATCTTCATTACTGTTTGCAGTCTCAATGCAGACTGGTCCATTTTACACAAAGGTTATACATTTATCTGTTTTTTTTTTTCTAAGAAACTCTTGCAGGAGAATAAGCAATCCTTAAGGAATTATCTTTGAGAAGAAGCAAGGGGATGAAGAAAAGACATAGAATGCCATTAAATATGAATATTGTGTTAGTGGAACTGCCAGACATCCTGAAATTGCAAATCTTTTCACTCTGTTCCCTTCAATATAACCATCAAAAAAAAAATCATATCTTTCAGAAGGGCCTGATTCTGCATTCTTTCAGTCTGCTGCAGAGCAGGATTGCCTCCTGTTCAGTGACTGGAATGGCAAGTAGCTTTGTCAAAAAAAGACCCAAGCCCCATGAACTGAAACAGATGCCTGATAAATGTGCATTCCTATAAAATATTGAAGCAGTCAACACAGTCACGTGGAGTGTTTCTACTTTTAGGGAGCTGAGAAGGTAGCCAACACATATAGCACCCATCAGGTCCTGCCAGTAGGGAGGGAGAATAAATTCACACCTTGCATCGTCACCAGAAAGATTTTTCCTTCAAAATCTTCCACTTCCAATTGCCAAGGCACCGTCTGCTCTCCTCGAAAAGCTGCAGCTGGAAAGGGAAACCAACTCAGAAGTAAAGCAGTGATGCCAAATGGGAAGAGTTGGCTTCAGGTGAGCCCATGCCAGCTCCCAGCACGCCCAGTCTGCTGCACTGCATCGCCTCGCAGGTCGTGTGCTCATTAACAGGGCCACTGCAGAGAACAAAACACCAGCCATATGGATGGCCTGTCCTCCTCCTCCCTCTGCTGAAGGCCCCAGCTAGCTGCAAATGCACGTTGGGAGGGAGATCTCATTTTGCCTACACCTAGCATCACCAGCTTGTCGTGCATTTATTTATATAGTCTTCTATTCTCAGCAGGGCCAGAGCTGTTTTGCACAGTACAGGAAGGTCAG